GCAAAAGAATAAAACAAAACAAAACAAAGCTGGATTCAATGATGTCTTTGATTGTAAATTTTCTCACATGGAAACTGGTGATATACACTGAGAATTCTGTAGAGATCAAATATTATGATATATATAATACATAAAGGATATATTTAAATGGTAGCCGTTATTAAATTATACCAACCATATTATATGTCTTTATCACTAGTGTTTTACTCCTAATAATAATAATTTTATACGAGTGCATGCATAGGGTATGTTTTTCATATAATTATTAAATCAGAATGAATGACTTCATATTAGAACATTAACAGACTTTAAAAGTCACAGTTAGCAAAACAGGGAACTAAGTTAAAATATAATTACAGAACTGCATTTCAAAAGATTAGCTAGGAATGGTTCCCATTAAAGATTATAGAGTAGTTCAGCTGCATCAGAGAGAACAGCTGAAATATAGAGTATAGTGAAATTGAGAAGACTGAAGAAAAGGGGAACTGGAAATTACAAAGCAGAAACAGAAAATAAAATAATTAGCAACTGCCCAAAAGAAGTAGTAGTATTCTGATCCCATATCAAGGATTGTTAAATGACATCATCTGTTAAGGCCTAGGAACACTGGGAATAAGAAAGCAGTGATTTAGCGAGAAGGCTTTCAAAGAGTAATGATGGCAGGTAAAGGATGAGAGATTAAGTGATCTATCTGCCCAGGTTGTCGCAGTGAGTCAGAAACAAAGTCCAGACCAAAGAGATCCCTATGTCCAGCTAGGTAGTCAATCCTTTACAGACAACAGCCTTGGAAATTAACCAAATGACTAGACTAGCAGCACAAAAGGAAAACTTCATTACAAAAAAAAAAAAAAAAAAAAGAGATGGTGCAGCCCAAAGCAAGACGCCTGCAGATGGATAACTGTGAAGGAGATTGGGGACTGTTCATGTTTGCACAATAGCCTTTGGAGTGACACTGTTACCTCAGCTCCCTTCAGGCTTACTCTAAAATACGCCATGACTAACATCTAGTCAGTAGATCATAATGAAATGCCATTCAACATCCCTCACTTCCTGCATCAAAGGGAAAAGTACTGCCAGGTCCAGAACCGTTGGTGTGTCTGTCATTAAGTAGTGGTGACGCATGGGCACGTAACATCAGCCTCTTCCCTGACGGCAGAGAAATGAAGTGTAAAGAGCCTCATTCCTTAGTGCCTTAGAATAGATCTAAAATAGAAAAGTCTGCCAGCTACATGCAGTGACACAAGAGGATCTAAATAAGGACAGTGGAAGAGAAAACTGCAAGCTAGGCGTTGTTTACTTATCTGTGGTGCCTTCTGACCTCACTTCGGTGGGACCTGCCAGCCGCCAGCCTGCTCCTCCCCTCTGCCATCCTACCCCCTTCTACCCACCCTCCTTCCTTTTTTGAGCAAAACCTAATGAACAGATTTAGTTGTCTACTCATAGTATTTTTTATATAGCTTGGAGAGCCCGTATCGTATTTTATTCTAACTTTTTTTTTTTTTTGAGACGGAGTTTCGCTCTTGTTACCCAGGCTGGAGTGCAATGGCGCGATCTCGGCTCACGGCAACCTCCGCCTCCTGGATTCAGGCAATTCTCCTGCCTCAGCCTCCTGAGTAGCTGGGATTACAGGCACGCGCCACCATGCCCAGCTAATTTTTTGTAGTTTTAGTAGAGACGGGGTTTCACCATGTTGACCAGGATGGTCTCGATCTCTTGACCTCGTGATCCACCCGCCTCGGCCTCCCAAAGTGCTGGGATTACAGGCTTGAGCCACCGCGCCCGGCCCTCTAACTTTTAATATGTCTGTCTTCCCCCCTAAATGCAAATGCCTCCAAGTTCCACCGTGCAGCTCACCCATCTTCCTCCAGAGTGGCCGGCACACGTACACCTGGCACTCCTGGGAAGTGCCTAAAAGAAAATTGAATAAAGGAGCTTCTGTTTCCACCCAGTTACAAATTAGGGATTAGTCACCACTGAAATGCTGCTGACAGCATCTGAAGATGTGGCACCAGCCAGGCAATGAGAGTCGAATGATAAAACCTCAGGAAAAGCAGGAGGTGCTGAAAGGATTCCTGGGTCGCCTCTAAAAGCCCACAGCGCGCTCTGCAGTGTGGTAGCAGCACAACGTGGGGAGCGAGCTGGAGGGACGGGGCATGGATAGGGTGAGGCAAGCAGGGGACTCCCAGGTACACAGAAGTTAAGGGGCCGCCAAAAAAAACTCAGTCATGATAAAGAATATTATAGTGCGATCTGTTATAAAATAAAAATTGATGCAAAAATCTGTGCTGAAAAAAAAATCTAAGTTTTAAATAAATACACTGTGTCAGTGACTTTTCCTTTTGCCTCAGGCCCCTTTCTGGTTTCTGGATATGTTGGCTAATAGAATGGAAACAAAAGGACCCTGGATTGGATGTCCCAAGTCCTGCACCCCTGGCTGGGAGCATGGGGTCATTCTCCTCATCTCTGAGATGAAGGACGTCGGAGTAAATATCGGAATCACTGCAGGAGACGGACAGTGTCTCAAATTGGGTAATTTGAGGAGTTTAATAAAAGGACTGTTTACAAGGTGTAGGCAGTGTGCAGGAAAAATGCAAGGAAGAGTGAAGTGTCCCAGGACCAAGAGCAGAGAGGAGCTGTCACGCAGCATCCTGAGCACAGAACAGGGGCAGGACACAGACAGGGACAGAAGGGGCAAAAGGAAGACATCCAGTCCTGGGAGCAACCGGGTCTTTCAGGTCCTGCCATGGTTTTAAAACTTCTCTGCAAATTCTTTGACACTCTTCCCACAAAAAGATAACGGCTAATTCTCTTTCCATGTGACTTCTTAGGCCAACTTAGAAAAAAGCAAAATGCCTTCAGCCCATAGTTCTCTCTCTCTCATGCAATATGTGCCTTTGGTGTCCTGAGCCACCATGAAGTCCAACTACCATGAACGACTATGCTGGAGAAGTCACATGGAGAGACCACATACAGGGAGATGCCCTGGAGCCCTAGCTGTTTCTGTCCTCAAATGTTTTATCTTCCCAGTCTGGGTACCAGAGGTGTGAGTAAAGAAGCCCTAGAGGTGACCCCGGTTCCAGCCACCATCTGACTGCACCATCATGAGAGAACCCAAGGCAGAAACATCCCATTGAGTACTTCCCAATACCCAGCCCACAGGAACCATGAGATTAAAAATGGCTGTTGTTTTAAGCCACTAAGTTTTGGAGTGATGCATTATTCAGGAATAGACAGGCCCTTTCGATTTCTAATTTTCTACCTTCTCTGGGGTCTGAACTGGGGAGTCCCCAAGCGCTCCAGCTGCATGACAACCTTTGTCTGTGAAGCCCTTGAGCTGAATCACCATCTGTGAGGCATAGCCCTGGGCCCAGATAGCTATTTCTGAACTGAATCAACATCTGTACAAACAAGCTGACTGGTGCCAAGCTCAACTTGTGGGGGCATAGGAAGTGGCTGAAGAGCAGATACTAAACACCTCAATGTCTCAGCCCTGAACCCAGCACACTCTCACCAGCTGCTGTTGGAATTACGTATGAAAGATCAATAAACCCTGCTCCCTTTTCAATGCTGACATTTTAACATTTCTAATCATTACTATTGTGCAAACAAACAAGGTTCCTCTAAGTCATATAGGGGAAGGTGGTCGTTTAATATTAAAGAAATCAGGGTTTCATTTTGTTGTTTTGCCAATATAAGAGTTATACTGGCTGGGTGTGGTGGCGCATGCCTGTAATCCCAGCACTTTGGAAGGCCGAGGCAGGCGGATCACCAGAGGTCAGGAGTTTGAGACCAGCCTGGCCAACATGGTGAAACCCTGTCTCTACAAAAAATACAAAAATTAGCTAGGCACGGTGACCGGTGCCTGTAGTTCCAGCTACTTGGGAGGCTGAGGCAGGAGAATTACTTGAACCTGGGAGGCGGAAGTTACAGTGAGCAAAGATCGCACCCCTGCACTTCAGCCTCGGCAACAAAGCAAGAGTCTGTCTAAAAAAAGAATTTAAAAAAAATGATAGTTATATAGTAGGTCCCATTCATGTTTTTAAATATCATGGTATAAAACTGACCAGAACACTGAATACCTTAGGGTTAAAAAGTAAACATCCAGAACCAACTGAAAGTGCTCTAATTGCCAAAATTGGAACAATTTGAGCAACAAAATAAATTAATATGATAATAAACCAGTGAATAAATTTCTACAAATCCATACTAATATAAATAAATAATTGAATAAATTAATAAACAGGGAGAAGAGACAAGTCTCCTGTCCAGAAGAATCCCAAATAATTTACATTGATTCTCTGCCATCAAGGCGGGGAGCATAACTGTGCTCCTTAAAAGTATGCTTCACATAGTGACTTCCCTCCAAAGAGAAACATGAGAAGGGGGAAGGGAGAGGTTGAGAGGGTGGGGAGTAGCTCTACAGTGGAGAAGCCTGACAAACGCTGTCTCAACCCCAGTCCACATCAACAGTGATGCATTACATTGACAGTATCTACCCTGTGTACTAGTCTCTTCTCATGCTGCTAATAAGGACATACCCAAGACAGTAATTTATAAAGAAAAAGAGGTTTAATGGACTCACAGTTTCACAGGGCTGGGGAAGCCTCACAATCATGGCAGAAGGTAAAGGGAGAGCAAAGGCACCTCTCACATAGCAACAGGCAAGAGAGTGTGTGTAAGGGAACTGCCCTTTATAAAACCAGCAGATCTCGTGAGACTTATTCACTATCCCAAGAACAGCATGGGAAAAACCCATCCTATGATTCAATTACCTCCCCAGGTCCCTCCCACGGCACATAGGGATTATGGGAACGACAATTCAAGATGAGATTTGGGTGGGGACACAGCCAAACCATATCACCTTAAAAACAAAAACCTGGGATCCCAATTCACAATGCCAAAAGGAAAAAAAATTGGGCTGAAAGTTGAGTCATGCAAGAAAGTGTCTTTCCTTTTGTTCCTAAGCAGATAGCTACTGATAAAAAGTTGTATCTCCACAGGTAGCTACTCTGCCATCATCCTATCTTACGGAAGGTGCTGATTTTCTGAGACCAGAGGAATACACAGTTGACTGTTCCCCTACCTGCTCCTTTTCTCTGGCAACATGTGGATTAGCGTACCCTCCCTCTTTCCCCTTCAGCCTGCTGTTCCCCTTTAAATACTGAAGCCCTTAAATTCATCTTTGGAGAACGGCACAGACCACAGACTGTTTTGTGATTACTTGTTCTTTTCTTCCAGGCATACCCTTAACCTTGGCAAAATAAACTTCTAAATTAATTGAGACCTATCTCAGATACTTTTTGGTTTACAATATGATGTGATGAAATGGTAATTTACCGCTGATAAATTTTTTACTTTACTTCCTTTCATAAATCCTGATATGGTTTGGATGTGTGTCCCCACCCAAATCTCATGTTGAAATGTAATCCCCAGTGTTGCAAATGGGGCCTGGTGAGAGAAGGTTGGCTCATGGGGGCACATTTCTTATGAATGGTTTGGCAGCATCCCCTTGCTACTGTCCTCATGATAGACAGTGAGTTCTCGAGAGATCTGGTTGTTAACGTGTGTGGCACCTCCCCTCTCCTCTTGTTCCTGCTTTCACCATGTGACATGCCTGCTCCGACTTCACCTTCAGTCATCAGTAAAAGCTCTGCGAGGCCTCCCCAGAAGCTGAGTGATGCTGGTGCCATGCTTGTACAGCCTGCAGAACTAAGAGCCAATTCAACCTCTTTACAAATTACCCAGTCTCAGATATTTCTTTTTTTTTTTCTTTTTTTTTTTTTTTGAGACGGATCTCACTCTTGTTACCCAGGCTGGAGTGCAATGGCGCGATCTCGGCTCACCACAACCTCCACCTCCTGGGTTCAGGCAATTCTCCTGCCTCAGCCTCCTGAGTAGCTGGGATTTCAGGCACGTGCCACCATGCCCAGCTAATTTTTTGTATTTTTAGTAGAGATGGGGTTTCACCATGTTGACCAGGATGGTCTCGATCTCTTGACCTCGTGATCCACCCGCCTCGGCCTCCCAAAGTGCTGGGATTACAGGCTTGAGCCACCGCGCCCAGCCTAAATATTTCTTTATAGCAATGTAACAACTGTATTAGTCAGAGTCCTCCAGAGAACCCTGGAGAATGGGCTAATACAAACCCATAACCCAATCTAATCATAAGTAAAACAGACAAATTCCAACAGAGGGGCATCCTGACCAGTACTTCTCAAAATTGTCAAGATCATCAAAAACAAGAAAAGTCTGAGCAACTGTCCCGGTCAAGGGGACCCTAAGGAGATATGACCAGTAAATGTAATGGAGTAGCTCAGGTGGACTCCTGGGCCAGAAAAAGAACAATTGGTGAAACCTAAAGAAATCTGAATAAACTATGGACTTCAGTTAATACTATTATGTAGAGATTGATTCATGAGGCCAGGCGTGGTGGTTCATGCCCATAATCCCAGAATTTTGGGAAACTGAGACGGGTGAATCACCTGAGGTCAGGAATTTGAGACCAGCCTGGCCAACATGGTGTAATTCCGTCTCTACTAAAAATACAAAAATTAGCCAGGTGTGGTGGCGCACCCCTGTAATCCCAGCTACTCAGGAGTCTGAGACAGGACAATAGCTTGAACCCAGGAGGCGGAGGTTGCAGTGAGCCAAGATTGCACTCCAGCCTGGGCAACAAGAGTAAAACTCCATCTCAAAAAAAAAAAAAAAAAAAAAAAAAAGGAAGGGGGGCAGGGAATTAAACACCAATTTTGTTTCATATTACTTCACCCTTTATATGATATATAAAAATTTGCAGCCCCAAACTTACTGGTTTTTTATTTACATCTTGGACATTGGAAGAGCAGAGCAGTCAAAGAATAATAGTGCCAAGGTTTTTTTTCTAACAAAATCTGTTTTTTTCTCTATTCTGAAATATATGATTCTAAAGAAATAAATCATTTGTAATTGTCTGCATGGGGCAGTCATAATAGGTTGTCCTTAAAGTTACTGGCCATGTTATAGGAGGCAGTGGGATGTGAAGACAGGGATGCATATTTCAAATTTTCAGGTTTAGGTTTAGAATATTTTTTTGCATGATGAGCAAACAAAGGAATAGAGGTACGTTCTATTAGTTTTAAAACATGGGGCCCAGGAATAGCTTGTTAACTATATGGGGAAAAAACACAATCTCTACTTCACATTATACATAAAAATTAATTTGAGATGGGTCACACACATAGACATGAAAGCTAAAACTATAAAATATGTAGAAGAAAACACAGGGGAATATCTTTGCAATCTTGGGACAGGTAAAGATTTCTTAGGTTACAGAAAGCACTATCATTAAAAAACTAATAAATTAAACTTATTAACATTAAACATTTCTGTTCATCAGAAGACACTGTGGGGATTCAGACAGCAATGCCCCATGTGAAGGCTTCAGAAGCAGCCTCAAAAGCAAAGTTCCTCTGACTCTCTCCTGCCCTCCTGTCTCTCACCTCTCATTCTTCCTCAAGACAAGCCATAGAAGCTAGAATTTCTCTTCTGCAAATGGTTCATAAAAACCAGAACCCCAAAAATCCCCAATGCCAGCCATAAAACGTAAAATATGACTCTAACCTTCGCCTGCCTTTCTGAGTAAGAACTGGCCATAAAGAAATTGTCTTACCTACCTTGTTTGATTGTATGTCATTGGATCTACCTTTTCGGAAAGGGTTCTGGCCCATAGCCAGGAGGAAGGCCAAGAAGAATCTGAATAGACAGGCATTGCTGGGTTCCCCTGTCTATTCCCAGTAGGTCATACCCTTTTTGACCAATTACATTTCTTTTTTTTTTTTGAGACGGAGTCTCACACTGTTGCCCAAGCTAGAGTGCAATGGCTCGATCTCGGCTCACTGCAACCTCTGCCTCCTAGGTTCAAGCTCTTGCCTCAGCCTCCTGAGTAGCTGGGATTACAGGCGCATGCCACCACGTCTGACTAATTTTTATATTTTTAGTAGAGATGGGAGTTTTACCATGTTGGCCAGGCTGGTCTCAAACTCCTGAACTCTATAAAGTTTTAGAAAAGAACAGGGGAATGAAAAAAGAACAGAAATGCAATAGGGATGAAAATAAGAAAGAGAGGAAATCAGGCAGAAAGGAAGAAGTCTTAGGTTGCCTACTTTTTTTTTTTTTTTTTTTTTATGAGACAGGGTCTTTGCTTTGTTGTCCAGGCTGGATTGCAGTGTGGCAATCATGGCTCACTGCAGCATCAACCTTCTGGGGTCAAGCAACCCTCCTGCCTGAGCCTCCTTAGTAGCTGGGACCACAGGTGTGTGCCACCACACCCAGCTATTTTTTTTTTATTGTAGACATGGGTCTCACTATGTTGCCCAGGCTGACCTCAAACGCCTGGGCTCAAGCGATCTGCCCACCTTGACCTGCCAAAGTGATGGAATTATATGCATGAGCCACTGTGCCTGGCCTACCAACATTTTGTTGATTGTAAAATACATAATATGTAGGGAAAAATATATAAAATGCACATCTAAAATTTAAGTAAAATAATAAAATGTATTATTATACTATCCATACTACTACCACTCTAGTTCTTTAAAAAAAAAAAAAATCAAATATTACTACGGTATTACCCCAGTTGCAACCCCTTCCTCCTCGTTACATAGGGCAAGAGTATTCATTCCCTTCCTTTTCTTTTGGTGATATCACTTACATATGTGTCCTTAGGTGATATGTTGCTTAATTTTGCAATCTTGAGGGGCAAGAAAAATTTAGCCTTTATGAAGAAGCCACTTCCAATCTCTTTTCTGGAAGGGTCAGAGTCTGGCTGTCGGTGTCCTGGACCTGAGTGGAAAGGTCAGGGAGGGCTCTGCAGCCAGGATCTGCTGAGCATTAGATCACTTATTCTTTCTGTTTGGGGTATGACGGTCAGACTTCCAACTGTGTATGGTGTCCACATACAGAGAATAAGCTTTCATACTTCTGTTGCGTGAAGGATGAGGGACTCAAGGGCTGAAGAATGACAGGAAAGACCTTCTCTTGAGATCCCACAGCTTCTCAGACAATCTTTCCCAGTGCTCCTTCCTTCAGTGCCCTCACCACCTCTTCCCTCCTCCCATCTCCATCCGCAGTGGCAATTCTGGGCAGGATTCCACAGCCTAAAGCAGCTTGGTTCATTTACCCACTGTGGTCTTGAGGCTAGGCTTTTATGAATCTACCAGACAAGTTTCCAAAATGTTTCCAGCTTCCAAAACATTCTTGCTGTTGTTTCCTTCATTGGTGTGTGTTGGGGATTGGGGATGGGGTAACTTTAATGGAGTTTTGGGAGAGAGTGAAATTGGATGCTGGTTCAATCTGCCATCCTCACTTCACAAATATTTTTAATTGGCTTTTGTCTTTATTATATCAAAAAATTATATGTTCATGGTTTTAAAAATGTTTAAAATATAAATAAAAAGGAAAACATAAATCTGCCTTAATCCTACCATGTAGATAGAAACATGGTTAACATTTTGGTCTTTATCCTTTCAGATATATACATAATTTTTCTTATAAAAATAAGATTATAGTGTACATACCAATTTGCAATATGATTTCTCATTTTTAATGTTATTTTTACCAGATGGAATAGGATTTCTTCAGGTCACATATCACAAACATGTTTTTATGTCATTAAATATACTTTTTCCACATCATTTAAATGGGCACACAGCATTTTACTGGCATCAGATTTTATTTAATCAATCCCCTATTGATGAACATTTCTGTTGTTTCTAATATAGTAATTTATTATTATAATAAAACCGATATATAATTAAGAAGATATTATTTTGGCTGGATCACGCCTGTAATCCCAGCACTTTGGGAGGCTGAGGTGGGCAGATCAGGAGGTCAGGAGTTTGAGACCAGCCTGGCCACATGGTGAAACCCCATCTCTACCAAAAATACGAAAATTAGCCAGGCATGGTGGTGCACACCTGTAATCCCCAGCTACTTGGGAGGCTGAGGCAGGAGAATTGCTTGAACCCTGGAGACAGAGGTTGCAGTGAGCCAAGATCACACCACTGCATTCCACCCTGGGTAATAAGAGCAAAACTCCGTCTCAAAAAAAAAAAAAAGTCATTATTTTGAGTCTTTAGACTTAAAGCTAAAGGCTTAAGCCAATTAATTCTGAAAGGTGATATCCTTTGAGTCGAGGGTCAAGGATAAATCAACAGACCAGGGAGAAGGCAGTAACACATCTAGTATCAGAGTCACATTAGACCAATTACTTTTCATAAAATTTTGAACACTCTGAATCAGATATG